GAATAGAATAGAATAGAATAGAATAGAATAGAATAGAATAGAATAGAATAGAATACTTTATTGGGAATGGAATAGAATAGAATATATGGCATGGCATAGAATAGAATAGAATAGAATAGAATAGAATAGAATAGAATAGAATAGAATAGAATAGAATAGAATAGAATAGAATAGAATAGAAATTCTTTATTGGGAGTGGAGTGGAATGGAATGGAATAGAACAGAACAGAACAGAACAGAACGGAACAGAACAATATTTTATTGCCCAAGTGTGATTGGACACACAAGAAATTTGTCTCTGATGCATAAGCTCTCAGGATACCTACAAACAACAAATATAATCAGTGTACATACACAAACAACATGTGCACACAAACAACAAGTATACCTACAAACATGAACACCATATGATACCAATAGAAGAAGATAGTAGAAAATATGAAAAAGATAATATAGTAATAATAACAACAATAACAATAACAGGTAGATGTATACTTTCTCTTGAGAGCAGGCAACAGAACTTCATTTTTAACCTGGGCGGGTGTACTCACACAAAAAATGACAACAAAAGTTATCTCTTATCTTAATACAGCCATACCACATGGGTAAATTATCCTTAGACATAAGACAATACTGTGGTCATTAGGCTGTGTAAAATTGCGTTGCTTTTTTCCTGCCCCCCTATAAACAGGAACCTCAAAGCTTTTTCCAGGGACTTCACGGCGAGAGAGAAACTAGGACCAGATTTCCTCAGGACCCACATTTCTCCAGCTGTTGGATCTTCAGAACCCAAAGCAACCGGAGTCCTTCCTTCTCCGGAAGCCCAAGAGCACCATGCTGCCACTGAAGGAACGGTTGAGAAGGAAGAAGCTGCAAGGGCAAACGAGGAATCCAAGAAGAAGGAGCTCCGCCTCAAGAAGAATAAAAGGAAAGAGAAAACTCGGGAGGATCTGAAAGAGGAGTCCTTGGCTAAGGAAATTGTGCACAAGGACAAGTCACTTTTGAGCATCCTGGATCCCGATTCGAAGATGAAGACCACGATGGATCTCATGGAGGGGATTTTCCCCAGAGGCTCCCGGGTGCTTAAAGAAAGTGCAAAGAAGAGAATAATGCAGAAAAGGATAAAGGATTCTGCCAGTAATTTCTCTCCAGCCGGCAACAAGTAAGCTTCTTTTAAGTTTTTATATTATCCATCACAGAACAACAGAGTTGGAAGGGATCTTGGAGATCATCTAGTCCAATGGTCGCCAACCAGTGGGCTGGGGACCACCGGTGGTTCGCAAGAAAATTTTGGTGGTCCTCAGAGAAATGTCACCCCCAAAGCAATTAATCCAGTCTGCGCGGGAACACAAGGCTGCGCCGCCCGCAAGGCCCGTGGGAATACAAGGCTTGCGTCACTTGCATTGCGAACAACACAAGGTAGTGAGGGGAGGGGGGAAAGGGCGGTGGGGGAGAGCTTGCCCCCCTCACCCAACGCACCTGGCCTGGACACTGGGCTGCTTTTTTCTGCTTCTTCCTTCTTCTGCTTTTAGCTGCACGCATGGAAAGCAGCAAAAGTCTTTCTTTCTCTCCCCCAGACTCCGCCAGAAATGAGTCTTTGGGGCCCTGCAAGGCCTCCTGCTCCAAGAGGCTGCGCCAGCGCTCTCACAAAGACTCGTTTCTGGTGGAATTTGGGGGAGAGAAAGAAAGACTTCTGCTGCTTTCCTTGCATGAAGCCAAAAGTCTCTCTCTCTCTCCCTCTCTCTCTTTCACTGAGAACAGAGCTGGAGACGGTCTCCTGCGATCCCAAATAAAGAATAATTGATCGGTAGGAAAAACGGGGTGGGGGATTTTCCTGCAGACATTTTTGGGGATTTTCCCAGGGTCTCTAGTCCGCAGGATTTCAAATGATGGGTTTGGTGGTCCCTGAGATCCAAAAGTTTGGTGACCCCTATTCTAGTCCAATCCCCTGCTCAGGAAACTCGAAACATTAGTGTTTATCCTGCAGTGTTGCCGAGCCTACTCAGTTTGATAGTGGCACTCTCTTTAGAATCACGATATTTGCTTTATGACCATGGCATTCCCTTAATGACCACCGTAGAAAAAGGATATAAAAATGGGCCCAGTCACACGACACTCTGCTTTATGACCGTCATGACATAACGCTAATGGGCATATTCCATTACGGTTGTAAGTCAAGGACTATCTTGGACTATTTACAAAGTGCATGATATGGGGTACCTGTATCTATCTATAAGGTATGTGGTATAGGGGGCAGATGATAGGCATGACATAAATATACAGGTGGTCCTCAACTTACGACCACAGTTGGAACCAGCAAATAAACACTAAAATATTGACGTTTTGCTCATCTAATTCTCCATGCAGCAAATTGGCCTTTTTGCTTAAATGTTATCTGCTAAAGTTTTTTTTCTTTTTCTTTTTAACTTGTGCATTCTGTGCTGCAGTTTAAGTGGGATGAATAGAGTAAAAAGAAGTACAGGTAATCCTTGACTTATGACCACAAGCGAGCTCGAAATTGCTTGCCGGGCTTTCCAGAAATTGTCTGTTTCGATTGTCTGTTTCTAGCTCCGAGACAAGCATATTCTCAAAGTGCTTTATTTAAAAAACAGAAACTTGGCACATCTGTGGAATTACGGAACTAAGGTTCTTTCCAGCCTTCCCACAATACTCAATCAATGCCCACCCCTTTTCTCCCACATCATAAATCACATGAACCAATTACCTTTCAACTACAATTCTTGTTGCGCCGTAGAAAATGTGCTTGTCCGTCTTACGTCTCTGTCATGTCTCCTGAAAATTACTCAAATAACAACAACCCCTTTTCCATCCTTCGTAGCTAGAGGGCAGCTTTTAATAAGGATTCCAAAGCTGACATTGCTCTTGTTAAGCGAGTTTCCCCCTCCATTTTACGACCTTCGTGGCCACTGTTGTTAAGTGAATCACTGCAGTTGTTAAGTTAGTAACGTGGCTTTTAAGTGAATCTGGCTTCCCCTGTCGACTTTCCCTGTCACTGACACTGACACTGCAACCGTCATAAATAATGAGTCAGTTGCCAAGGGTCTGGATTTTGGTCATGTGAAATCTGCAACGGTCCTAAGTGTGGAAAAAAAATGGTCGTAAGTCACTTTTTCACTTTTGTAACTTAGAACGGTCCCTAAAGGCATGGTTGGAAGTTGAGACTATACTCAAAAGAGAAAAAAGAAGAAAAAAAAAGCCTTTAACAGTGACTTCTCTCTCCCTCCTGAAATACCGATCAAGAGCCACTGCAGGGGAATTTCTCCAAAATATGCTTGCCTTTGATTTCCCTTTGCAGAGTACAGCAAAAAGACAAAACGAGTTAGGCTCACAATTGGAATGAAAAGGCTAGGGAAGTTTTCCTTTGGCGTCCTGTGCTAAGGAAGGTGGATTAAAGGCTTTGTGATACCTCCATGCAAGGTCTCTGTTGACTTGAAATTAAACCTGAGAGAATCAAGTTTCTGCAAAAGTATGGAATTCTTTAAGAGATTAATGATAGTTGGCTTGCACCCTCCAGTGGTGGGTCTGGTGTTGCCATCCAGGTCATTGTAGAACATGTCTACGATAATAGGATAACAGAATAATGGAGTTGGGAGGGACCTTGGAGGTCTTCTAGTCCAACCCCGCCCTCAAGCAGGACACCCTAAACCATTTCAGACAAATGGTTATCCAATCTCTTAAAAACCTCCATGACTTGCGTTCCACTGGTTAATCGTTCTCACTGTCAGGAAATTCCTCCTTATTTCTAGGTTGCTTCTCTCCTTGATTAGTTTCCACCCATTGCTTCTTGTCCTGCCTTCAGGTGCTTTGGAGAAGAGGTTGACTTCCTCTTCTTTGTGGTGACCCCTTAGATAGTGGAAGTCTGCTATCATGTCACCCCTAAGTCCCTCTTTTCATTAGACTAGACATACCCAATTCCTGTATATCTTCTTCATATCTGTTAGCCTAGAGTCTCCTAATCATCTTCGTTGCTCTTCTCTGCACTCTTTCCAGAGCCTCAACATCTTTTTAAAATTGTGGCGACCCAAACTCGATGCAACATTCCACCTGTGGTCTTACCAAGGCATTATAAAGTAGTTAAAACACTTCACTACTTCACATCACTACTAACGTGATGACAACTAGAATTCATCTGGACACCTTCCAGATACGTGCCTGTAATTCCCACCTTGCCCATGATAACCTTTGAGACCTCTGAAAGTTGAGGTTCTCAACTGGGAAGTTGCCAAGTTTATATAAGTTGAGATTTAATTCTCAAAGAATAGAATAGAATGGAGTGGAGTAGAGTAGAACAGGGTTGCCATCTGGCCGTTTTTCCGGCCAAATTCGAGAAATTTGGCCGTATTTCTATCTGCTTGGCTGTGAAAAAAATGATGTCTCCGGCCAAATTTATTTGGCTGGAAATTTGGCCGTACGAAAGTTGCTTGGCCGTGAAATCGGCCAGATCTCTCCTTCCCTCGCGCATGCATGTCACCATGAGCAAAAGGAGGACAAGCGCGTCCTCTGGCGCTCTCCTTCCCTCGCGCATGTGCGTCACCATGAGCAAAAGGAGGACAAACGCGTCCTCTCAGTTCTCCGACACACCCGCTTCCTCTCAACTCCCGTCACACACACCTTCAAGACCTTGGCGCCCGGCCACGCCCCCTTCCCGCCTGTGACCCGAACAGGGGCGGCTCCTCCTCCATCAACACCACACCCATTCCTATTACGGCTCATTCCAACGCCACGCCCCTCGGCTTCCCCACGCATCCCGAGCTCTCCTTCCCTCGCGCATGCGCGTCACCATGAGCAAAAGGAGGACAAGCACATCCTCTGGCGCTCTCCTTCCCTTGCGCATGCGCAAAAAATAATTTGGCCGAATTTGGCCGTATTTTGACTTGAGTTTGGCCGCAGAGCCAAACTGCGATCCGGCAACCCTGGAGTAGAATAGAAATTCTTTATTGGCCAAGTGTGATTGGACACACAAGGAATTTGTCTTGGTGCAAATGCTCTCTGTGTACATAAAAGAAAAGATACATTCGTCAAGAATCATCAGGTACAACACTTAATGATAGTCACAGGGTACAATAAGCAATCAAATCATACTAGGAAACAGTCGATATAAATCGTAAGGATACAAGCGACAAAGGTACAGTCATACAGTCACAAGTGGGAGGGGATGGGTGATAAGGAATGGTGAGAAGTTTGATAGTAATAGTAATGCAGACTTTGTAAATAGTTGGACAGGGAATAGTTGAGGAAATTATTTATTTAGCAAAGTGATGTCCTTGTGTCTAGTTGTTCTGGTGTGCAGTGCTCTATAGTGTTGTTTTGAGGGAAGGAGTTGAAACAGTTTTATGTCCAGGATGTGAGGGATCTGTAAATATTTTCACAGCCCTCTTTTTGACTCATGCAGCATACAAGTCCTTGACTGAAGGCAGGTTGGTTTCGGAATTGTTTTTTCTGCAGTCCTAATTACTCTCTGAAGTCTGTGTCTGTCTTGTTGGCAACTCATGATCAGAAAGGAAAACTCATCTTTTGCCCATCCACACCAGTTCTACAACATATTTTAATTGGCGCAAGAAGACCAAAAATATATTCCTCTGCATTCCCATTTATATACTTGCTCTGAACTGTGTTTAGGAATGACGAGAAGGAAGCTGCTAATATGCCTGTCACCTGCCCAACGTACTACAGTGTGTCTGTACCCAAAGCTGAACTTTTGAATAAAATCAAGAATTTGCCTGAAGAGGCAGGTGGGGATGATGAACAGGTGGACATCAATGAGAAGAAGGTGAGTTTTGAGCATGCCCGGTGTGGAAGGGACAGTTACACTCTTTAAGCAGAGCTGTGTGAATTTGAAGACATCTGTGGGATCGGAAGTTTCCATTGAAATGACAAAAGCAGCACACCACTGTTGGGATGTAAGGCCCACCTTTTCTATGTGTGTGTGTGCCACATCACAGTGCGTGCACAAAAAGGATGGAGCCTGCATTGCAATGGTGCCATTTGACCTTTCCTGCTGATCAGGGTGTCAACCTCAGCAACTTTTAGATGTGTGGACTTCAACTCCCAGAATTCCCAAGGCAACACTGTGGTTCTAAGCAACCAATCATCGGCCGAGGATTAACTGTATGTTATTTTGTTGAATCCTTTCTATGTAGATCCTCACCAAGAACTATTATCTCCATTCCTTACTTAACATCCTAGTCATTACGATTGGTTATACATTAAATTATTCATTTAATCATAACTGTTATTATTAGATCAATCTGATTTTCTTTGACCAGCTAAGTACTGTTCCATAGTTTGCATAGAGAAAGATGGATGGATGGATAGAGAGATAGAGATAATAGAAGACAGAGATGGATGGGTGGGTAGATGGATGGATAGATAGATAGATAGATAGATAGATAGATAGATAGATAGATAGATA